TAGGATTTTGGACAACTGGCGCCATGCTGCAATTCGGGCGCCACTTTCAAATACTGCATTTTTCAGTTCTGCCCTCGGGGCCTTTGCAGAAATGCCCCTGGTACCGTACGTGTCACCGGTACTTATGCCGGCTCCCCGTACGGTACGGGGACCAGTCTCGTACCAGTCCTCTGTTGCTGGACTCGTACTCAGTGTGACTTGCTGTTTCGACATTCAGGATCCAAGACTTCGACTTGTGCCTTGCCACGGTGTCTGCGTCCGATCCTCAGTCCCAGTCAGTCGTGTCGAGTGAGTGCGTGTGTGTGTGTGCTCTCACTCTCTCCCTCTCTCTCCTCTCCCTCGGCTCACCCTCAGCCTCACGCTCGTTACAATGTCAGCCGACAGAGGAGGAAATACCACGTCAGCAGACCCCTGGTCTGGTCTATGCTGTTGCGGTCACATACAGCCGTCATGGACCAGAGGTCCGGAGAAGCAGACGAGGCCTATCAGGCCCGGATGCTGGCTTGGAGTACCGAAACAAAGAAACGGGCAGATGACGCAGCAGCAGCAGCGAAGAAGAAGGCAGAGGACGCCGAGCAGGCACGTCTGCTGGCACTTGAACAACAGCGCCAGCATGACGAGGCAGCAGCAAGGGTTGTCGATGAAGAGAGAAACCAACGTCGTGAGAAGATATTTAGTGGAGAGCAGACTTTGCTCACAATGGCAGCGGCATGGCGCACCGAGGCCGAGAATGGCAAGTTGGAGGATTGCGAAAACAAGATCGCTCTCCTCCTCTCGCATCTCACAGACCTCCTGGCAACCTGCATTACACAGCAGGAGGATATCCACAGCCTCGACGACTCGCTAGCTCAAGTACAAGGCCACCTTCAGCAGCTGGAGCAGCGACCGGTCGCCGCCCCCGATGCAAGCTCTTCCAATACCTCTGATCGCCTCGAAGCATTGGAGATGGACGTCGGCTCCCTCAAAGACGGCGTGCAGTTACAGCAGACCGCAACGCAACAGTTGCAACAACGGATCTGTACTACCGCCAATATCTCAAGTTCAGAACCGCGCGAAACAGCTCCCAAGTTTGACGGGCAGGAGATCTTCTGCGACTCGACGAAGACAGATCCGGTTCCATGGTTCCGCAAGTTCGAGCTCACGCTGCAGCTACACAACGTCAAAGAACACAAGCACCACGCATACTTATACTCTCACTCAGGGGGCGCGTGCCAAGCTTGGTTGGACAACCTCTTGTCCAAGTACGGAGTGGTAGCTAACGACTTGCACACCAAGATCAGTTGGGATGATCTGAAGGCGGCGTGGCACAAGCGGCTCCAAGTCGAGCTGCCGGAGATCAAGGCTATGGACAAACTCATGGTCTTCGAGCAAGGCACGCTGCCGAGTACCCACTGGATCGCCGAGTACCAACACTTGACGTCAGTCCCAGACATCCAGATGGGCTTCAAAGCCATCCGCCACTATTTTATCTCAAGGTCCTGTCCGGCATGAAATAATGCCCTGACTCACGTCGAGGACACCTTGACGACGACGGCGGAACTTTTTGACAAGGCCGCGCAGATCATCATTACGAACAAGGAGGCGAAGAATTTGCGTTCGTCTGCGGTAGGCCCGAGCAGGGACCAGCATCGGCCAAGAGTGGTCGTGGTCGCAACGGCAACGCCGTTGGACCAAACCAGCGAGGCCGTGTCTGCCCATGAAGGAGACAGACTCGCAGCCGCCCGGGAAGGTGGCCGCCCCAGCAGAGGCTGAGGACGCGGCAGGACGAAGACACACACCGCATCTAGCCCCGGGCCCAGCGCAACAGCTCCAGCCCCTTGGTCCCAATATGGCATCTCCGAGCAAGCATTCAAGGTGCGCACAAGATTCCACTATTGTCTATGGTGCAACAGTGATCTTCATCAGACACTGATGTGCCCATTGAAAGGCAAGGGCAAACAGGGAAACTGAGCACCGCCGAGAGTGACTCGACAACACTCTCGACGCCTCCGGAACCGGTTTCTTCGCGGGTAACCGACCTTCATTCCGAGGCGCACGCGGAAGTCGATAGTCCTCCTCTTTTACTTTCTTTTGAGGACTATGCTGCCCGGCTTGTTCCTACGCTGGGCACTCAAGCTCAAGGACTAGAAGTGTGTGCAGTTTCTTCTCCGTCCGACAGTGGCGACTTATCGTCTTCAAGTGGTTCTTCTCGGGATTCGGCGCGCGAGTTCAACATAGAGGTATTGGACCCGCTCACGGCCGAGGACTTTGCATGGCTTCCTCTCTCGACCATAGGCCTCTTGCCGGGACCGCAATGCGCAGCACTATGTGCTCATCTCCACACTTACTTATCCTTCTATGCACCACCAACTTCGCCGACGGATGATGAAGTCGCGGTGGGGGACATCCTTGCGTATACTACCAAGGTGGCCCGCGAGTTTCGCACGCAGCGGTACGATGACAACAACGCACCGCTCATGTATGTCTGCATTCAAGTTGGGCAAGCGTCCTGCAGCGATAGCGGCGCATCTCGCAATTTCATGAGCCAATCCTTTATGCAAAGGGCTGGCCTTGGCTCTCAAGTTCGGAGGAAGGCAAACCCAACGACGATCAAGTTGGTGGATGGAAAGACGCAGCAACTTCTTGACCGTTACATCGAAGCCGTACCGGTGTACTTTGCACCTCATGCATGCGAACCGGTGACGTTCGATATTCTCAACACGGACTTCGACATCATTCTGGGAATGTCTTGGCTTGCAAGTGTGGATCACACGGTCAACTTCCACCGGCGGACTCTTAGCGTTCGCGACGCCTTCGGCGTGGAAGTGGCATGTACTATTCCTCTACCGCACCCTTCGATTCGGTGCCAAGTGGTGACGACCAAGTTACAACTCTCTCTCTCTGTCGTAGTCCGCTGGTACTGAGAAGTCAGGTAGTGAGAGGGTGAAGAAGAGATGGTGGACTTAGAAGAGGAAGAAGAAGAACTCTCTCTCTCTCTCTCTCTCTCTCTCTCTCTCTCTCTCTCCGGTACTAAACTGTGAAGTTGGCGCCTTGATGCAGGTACCTTGAAGATGAAGCTGGAGCTATGGCGCCACAGGTAAGTCTCCCTGGCCTCCGCCAGCCATCTCTCTCTCTCACCTCCTCTACCTCTACTAGCGCCCAGCGCTGAAGACTACTACTCCTGCTACTAGCGCCCAACGCTGAAGACTACTGCTAGCGCTAAGCTACTCCTGCAGCGCTCCTCCAGAGTGCTGCTGCCGAATCCTGAAGACTGCTACTGCCTCGGCCTCTGACTGCCCGTGAAGTGCATGGGAACTCCCTATGTACTACCTCGGCCTGCCTCCTGACTACCTGCAGCTGCAGGGCGGGGCAGTCCAGGAGGCTGCTCTTGCCAATGTCGAGGTGAGCCAGGGCCTGCCGCTGCAGCTCCTGCTGAGGCTGGCGTGGGAACAGGCCAAAAATAGCCTGTTCCCGAAACCCTGGTTTGGTGCCTGAGTGTTAGGGCAGGTCGATCTTATGAGGGCCCAAAAGTGGCCCTCCGTTTCAGGCTGAAACAACATAGGGCCTGCAGGCCCTCGTTTTTCAGTCTTTCAGGCTGAAACGACACGGGGCCTGTAAGCCCTTGTTTCTAGGCTTTTAGGCTGAGACTGCGGGACAGGCCCTGCAGGCCCGTGTGGCTGCGCAGTATGCCACACGCGTGTCAATCATGGCTGGACAACATGTTTTCCACACACAAGGTCGACATTTCCGAGCTGCACACAATGATCAGTTGGGCTGATCTCACGGCAGCATGGCACACGCGATTCCATGTGGAAGTTCCATCAGAACACCTTGCCAAGCACGGATGGGATCGCAGAATACCAACGCTTGGCATCCACGCCTGACTTGCTGATCCATTTCACAGGTGTGAAACACTACTTCATTACGAGGTCGTATCCGACATTGCAAAATGCCTTAACGCAAGTGGCGGAGACACTCACCACAAGTGAGTTATTATTTAAGAAGACTTCACAGATCATCATGACGCCAAAGGCCGCGATGCGGGCTGTTCGTCCTCCGCAGGCCAGAGCAAAGATCAGCATCGGCTGAAACTGGTCGTGGTCGCAGCAACAAGGCCAACCAATTCTAATGAGGGTGCTTCGTTAGACGAGGGAGATACATCAGCAACTGCCCGGGATGGTGGCCATTCGACCAAGGGTCGAGGACGTGGCAAACCGGAGACAAACGCCTCTTCATCCCCAGGGTCTAGAACAGCAGCTCAAGAACCTAGGGTCCAATTTGGCATATCAGAGGGCGTTTACAATATATGCACTAGGTACCGATACTGTTTGTGGTGCATCGGCGATGCACACGAAACAACAAGTTGTTCCACGAAAGCCAAGAGAAAGTCCCTTCCGGGAAAGTGAGCACCTCCGAGAGTGATACAGTTGCACTCTCGACGCCTTCGGAACCGGTTGCTTTGCGAGTGACCTCCTTTAGTTCCGAGGCACATGCGGAAGCCGTAAGTCCTCTTCGTTATTCTTTCGAGACTATGTTGCCCGACTTGTTCCATCGATGGGTTCTCTAGCTCAAGGACAAGGTGTGTGCGCGGTTTCATCTCCGTATGGAAGCGGCACCATTTCGTCGTCTTCAAGTGGTTCTTCAAGGGATTTGGCACGCGAGTTCAATGTAGAGGTCTTGGACCCGTTGTCGGCCGAGGATTTTGCATGGCTTCGTCTCCCTTCCACGGGCCGGTTATCGGGACCGCAATGCGCAACACTATGCACCCACTTGCACACATATTTGTCCTTCTACTGGATAGCGGCACGACTCTTATTTCATGAGCCAGTCCTTTATTCAAAGGGCCGGCCTTGGCGCACAAGTTCGAAGGAAGCCACATCCTACGGCGGTCAAGATGTCGGACAGTCGTACGCAACAACTTTTGATCGCTACATCGAGGCCATGCCGGTTTCTTTATCACCACATGCATGCGAACCGGTCACGTTTGACGTCGTGGAAACGGACTTCGACATCATTTTGGGGATGCCTTGGCTCGCGATTGCGGACCACACGGTCAACTTCCATTGGCGGACACTTACCGTTCGTGACGCTTTCGACGCCGAAGTCCCGTGCAATATTCCTCTTTCGCTTATGAGCGGACAATCGAGATAGGCCTTTGTTTTCTTCGAACTGTTGTAGCGACTGAATCTTCACCTACGGACTTGTCTTCGGACCCCGCGCGTGGTACGGTTGCTTGACGAGTTCACCGATGCCTTCGAGTCTCCTAACGGTGTGGTGCTGGATCGGCCGATCTCCCACGAGATCATTCTTGATGCCAATGTTGTGCCGCCGAAAGGTTGCATCTATCACATGAGCAAGAAGGAGCTTGCGGTTCTCCGCATGCAACTCGACAATTTGTTGGACAAAGGTTGGATCCGCCATAGTAGGTCACCGTATGGTGCGTCAGTTCTCTACGCATAGAAGAAGAACAAGGATCTTCGCTTGTGCATCGACCATCGCAAGCTCAACACACAAACTGTCAAGAATGAGGGGCCTCTCCCTCGTATTTACGATCTTCTTGAGAATTTGGGTGACTCGACATATTTTTCGAAATTGGACTTGAAGTCGGTCTATAATCAGATTTCGACATGCCCTCAAGATCACTACAAATCCGTGTTTAACACACGGCACGGGCATTTTGAGTGGGTTGTCATGCCTTTTGGCCTCACGAATCCCCCGACGACCTTTCAAGCGGCGATGACCAACGAGTTCCGCGCGATGTTGGACCGGTTTATGCTGGTCTACTTGAATGACATTCTCGTCTATAGCCGGACCTTGAAGGACCATTTCGAACATCTTCGACGTGTGTTGGAGACGCTCTGCTGCGCCAAGTACAAAGCCAACCGCGACAACTGCGAATTCATGCGCCAAGAGTTGGAGTATTTGGGCCATTTTGTCACACCGGAAGGCATTAGCCTGTTATCGGACAAGATTCAAGCCGTCCAATTGTGGATGGAACCAAAGAACGTTACGGATGTCCGTTCGTTTCTTGGCTTAGCCTACTACTACGAACGCTTTATCAAAGGCTATTCGAAGATAGCGGCCAACTTGACCAAGCTTCAATGTGAGGACCGACCGCTTGACTTCGACGATGATGCGCGAACCTCCTTTTTGGCTCTGAAAGCTGCCTTGCTATCTGTGGAGGTTTTACGCATCTACGACCCGCTTTTTTCGACGTGTGTCACTATCGATGAGTCCGGCTATGGCATTGGTGTCGTCCTCGAGCAACACGATGGCGTGGACAGGCGCCCGGTCGAGTACCTCAGTAAGAAGGTGCCCTTCATGCATTCAATTGACGACGCGCGGAAGGAGGAGTTACTGGCCTTCGTACATGCGCTTAAGCGGTGGCGGCATTTTCTTCACAATCGAAGTCAATTCCGATCCATTGGTCTTTTATAAGACTCAAGACTCAAGACACAGTCAATAGTACCATCGCCCGTTGGATGGCTTTCATCGACCAGTTTGACTTCTTTCCTGATCACATTCAAGGAAAGTCAAACCGTTTTGTGGACGCACTTTCACGACGCCTGGAACTGTGTACCATGGTCTACTCGACATTCAAGATTGACGACGACTTGCGGGACAACTTCATCTGCGGCTACCAAGTCGACCCCGAATTTCGCAGCAAGTACACGAATTGCTCCTCTCCAAATCAGGCGCCATCGCATTATCGGATCCAAGAGGGCTATTTGTCAGTCCACTGACGGGGAAGGATCTTCTTTGGGTGCCAAGTGATCCACACTTGCTTACCCGGCTTCTTGGCGAGTTCCACGACGCTCCCGCCACCAGACAGTTTGGAGTCAATTACACGATTGGCCGACTTCGCGAACGCTTTTGGTGGTCCGACCTTCTTGGCGATGTCAAAGGCTATTGTGAGTCATGCGAGGTTTGCCGGCATTGCAAACCCACAGTCATCGTTTGTTCGGCGAGTTGCGACCATTGCCGGTCCCTTTAGGACGACGGGAATCGATTGTTGTACAGCTGATTCAGATTGAGTTTAATACAAGTTTATTGTTGTTTCTGAGTTGGAAGAGTTTGGTTTTGCCATCGGTTCTCAAGTGTGCATGTTGAAAGCAAGTCCAGAGTCGAGTCTGATTGCATATGGCTGACCGTTGGTTGACCCGTGCGGAACTTCAGGCTACAGCCCCCGATGTCCTCGCACGTTACGAACGGAAACAACAAGGCAAGTCGGCACCTTCGGCTCCACGCCGTACTTGCGTTCAGGTTCCACCATCGGGTCGTTAGCTTCGCCCTTGACCCGGCTTGACTTCATAAGGAGGGGGGGGTGTGACATGCTGAGCCTGCACACGGGCCCCATTTTGGGGGCCTGACGGTTGTGCCCAGGCCGCACGCCCTTCGGACATGCGCCCTGGAGGCCCACGGCCGACGTTAGGGCTGCAGGATTCAATTTGAGGAAGCATTCATTTATTTATTTGCTGTCCTATTTTAGTCTGTTCAGGCGTCGTTTCGGACTTGCAGATCGTCCGAACAGACTTTTGGTCTGTTCGGACAAAGACTGGACAAAGGCCACGTTTTGGGCCTTCTTCGTTCACAGGCAGGCCCTTTCGGGGCAGGTTCATGTTTGTCCGGTAGCGGACACTCCCTGCTGCATCAGCAGGGAGGGCCTGGACGTCCGGTAGGGACCCAGGCAGGCTGTTTCAGGCCAAGGACCAGAGGCACGCCAGCGAGGCCCAGCGCCAGGGCAGACATACAGTTCGAGTAGCTCACTTCTTGGGCGACACGTTGTTGGAGCAGCACGACACAGCGCTGCGCTAAGCTGTAGAGGCGTACGTAGGGTGAGGCGGAGGCCATACCTGCTGAGGTGGTACTTACCTGGGCACCATAGCTGGAGTCCACGCCAGCGACCTGCACAGAGAGACACACCGGCCGCGGTTAGTACATGGCGGCAGTTACCTGCAGGTGAGACAGCGAGGAGCACGGCATCTTCTTCTTCTTCTTCTTCTTAGTCTCACCCTCCATCTCTTCTTCCTCCTTCTTCTTCCTTCTTATTATTCTTATTCTTCTTCTTCTTTCTGAGAGAGAGAGAGAGAGAGAGAGAGAGAGAGAGAGATTACAGGCAGAGGTTACATGGGGCCATGAGGCCCAGGATCTGATTCGACACTTTGTGGCAGACATTTGTTATGATTCTGGTTGTCTGTTGT